ATATTGCATGTAAAATTTCCAAATTTGTTGATACATAAAAGTATTTTTAATCTTAAAATGAAAATTACTTTGTATGAGAGAAAGATTGCTTTACAAACCTTATGACATAATAAAAAAATTAGATATTTTGCTTATGAAAGCATTGTAAAGTTTACTGATAATCTACCAAATGTCGTTAACATTTGCTTACTAATTTAAAGGTTATAGTATGAAAACTATAACAAGCACAAAATGGTTATGAGGTCATCACATTGACCAACCTCATACTGAAAGAGTTAACTGGGGTACGTTTACATTTTGGTTTCACTTATGCATCCTTTTTTTTTCTTTACCATTTCAGAAACAGTTGTTTTCCTTGCATTTCTGGATCCCACCTAGTGGTGGGTGTTGCCTGGTCAAATATGTTGAATCATTTTATACTAGCACTTACCCTACTTTTTTCTACTGCTCACAGTGGAGATGGGGTGTTTTTGTAAGACCACCTGATGCTTTTCTATCTATCTATATATATTCTGAGGACCGTCACTCATGGACTTCATGAGTAAAGCAGATAGAGATTTTTGCTCATCTGTATTGGCCCCCGGGCCACCCATATTTCTTCAAATTGAGCACAGGGGTCCTTGCCACTTCCAGTTCCGGTTGCTGGAGTGGTGGACCATGGTGGTATCCTCAGGAATGGGTTATGTATAATAACAAAATCTCATAGCCATTTGTACTCACTCAATGAGAAAAGGGCTGTCATCATTATGCTACATATTATACATACATTATGCCATTATATCTATTATGCAAGGCACTACCACTGGATTTTTTCTGCCCAGATGAACCCTACTTGACATAATCCAATGTATACCAAGGTGCTTCCCCTGAATGTTTTTGCCAGGGTGGACCACAGTTGTTGATTTTATAAACTTATGCAAGGTGATTCCATGTTATTTTTTGTCCTTGGATCACACTTGGTATAATACGTCTTAACCGAATGTGCTTCCCCTGGATGTTTTCTGCCCGTGCGGACTGCACTTGGCCTATTCATATATGGTCTTCTAGCTCTAGCCACATATTCTCCTCATTTCCGGCCTACATGTCTTATCTTCTTAACTGGGGTATGAGCATACTTGTTCCAGAAGTAGTGCTATACTCCACAGGTGTGCCTCATATTTTAATTGTGGCATACCTGCTTTTTTTTCATTACGATAGATCTCTGCTTGATTATTTGTTTTTGTGCCTTCACTGGCCATTCCACCTTTCCAATGTGGGATTCTAGCTATAGGGGAGAGGCGGTAGTACCATTTCGGAAGTTAACATTTTCTAACACTAAAAACGTGTTTCTTATAGGTACTTTCCTCTTCTCACCCACTTACCGTGATCAGCACATGTTGCTGCAATGATGCAAAAATTATAGGAGTATAAAAGGCCAGTGCACTGTTTGTAAGATTTACCAATGCCTAGAGGGCAAATGAAGGTCAAGATAGCAATGGGTGGATGGGAATAAGTACCTATTGGAAATATATTTTCAGTGTTAGAAAATATTAACTTCAGGATATTTTATTCAAATACTCATTGAATTCATAAGTTGTAAAACCATTAATTATATAGTAAGAAAATAAACAATTATTTTTTAACATATTGAGCAATAAAAACATAACTGAGTGTTAAAGGCTAGAACTCATAACTTTGTCCTTTTGTATGGTGCTTTATATAGTAAATGAAATTAGTAGGCTTAAAACCCTATATGAAATATACACATTTTTTTAAACTGATTTTTAGGTTATTCTGTAAATAAATAGCAGAATTAATTTCCTTCATTATGCTCAAATAATAAACTTTCATGTTAAAAATTGAAGTTGTATAATTTCCTCTGTTGCTACCAGCATATGTAAACATTTTGTATCTGATTGTCATTATTTGAAATTGTTTGGTAAATGATATTGTCCTTAAGGTCCAACATCCAGAATGATATATATAACATGTAAAATGCACTGTTTAAAAAATTGTTATGGTAATTAGCATTAAAAAGTTCTAATGTCATAGAATAGTATCAGTAGACGTTTTCAAGAGGCTAAAATATAGACTGTTCTTTTGTAATGAGTATCATGTAGTATTCTAATGATGGTGTATGAGAAACCAGTTCTCACGTACTCACAATTACTACTTGTTTCGGCCTTCATTTTCACGTGTTTTTTTTTATATTGAAATGGGAACAAGTAGGAAAGACACAATCCAACAATTTTTTGGTGTTGGAAATACCAGCAGTCAAGATGAAAAAAGGAAGTATGTAGACAGTATATGGCTATTTATACAAGCTGGATTAATTAAAAGAATAAAAACAATGGCAGCCATTCTTTAATATCATTTTATAACTCTTATAAGAAATGAATATGTAAAGTAAATTGTAGAAATTCATGTACGAAGTTTAAACTGCCTTTTAAGTTTACCACAAAACAGTACTCAACTTGTGTTCGTGGGTCTTAGAATTAATGCTCTAATTAGTCAAATTCACTTGAAGTTACATGATTAGTGTACCATTGTACAATAAATGTGCAGAGGGGAAGTAAAGGACAGTGTGATTTTAAAGTAACAGTTGAGAATCGAAGTCAAGCTTTAATGAAGTTATTTGGATATATGCAACTTGGTGATCAAAATATAAATCAGAAATGTGATTACTGTACAATAACAGAAAATAAACTAACTACAGTATTACAAAACTAATATCAAAATACTAGTGAATTGTATATTTAGAATCCAGTGAACAAAAGTATAAATTAACATAAAAACCAAAATAAAATTCATCAAGTATTTATAAACTAATGATTATGTAACAGTTCAATTTTGTAAATGAAAGCAAACAAGCGAAGCATAAATTGGCAAATAATTGATGAATAATTCATAATGGTGCCATGTGATCTCATTGATTTCATCATGTTTTGGGACAACATGGTTTAACGATTAGGAAACACAACAGAATTTTGTGTGTAACATTCATGAAATCATATAATTTTGGGAGGTATTTCAAAATTGTATTAACTTTTTGTGTAAATTAATTAATGATTAAAGACTAATTATAATTTCAAGACAAGTAAAAGCAACAACACTACAGAATTAGCTATATTCCATTATAAAGTACATTGTGTAATCAGTTGAACAACTATATTGGTGCAGTATCATTTCTACTTAAGGAAATTTTTTACAGATTCATATAAAAGTCTTGTTTTCTAATTTAAAATTTCATTTGCTCAATGTTACAATTAAATATATGACACACACACACATAGGTGTTTCTAGATATGTTAAGTAATTTTTTATTGTAGTTTGAAAGAAGGTCAGTAAATATGGGATTAAAACAGAAACATTATGTCTATTAACAAGTTTTCTTACAATTACCATCTTGGTCAAATCATTGTGTAATACTAGGGGACAGAATATCTAGGTTTGCATCACAATTTGGGAATCAAAATAACCCCCACTTTCCTCTTTGTTTAGCACAATATGCAAATCACTTGTTTCTCTTGTATGCTGTCTTCGAGACCTCCAGCAATACAGTGAAAGTCTGTAACATTTCAGTTTGATATGTCAAAGCCGATGCTCATTTCTCAGAAATTCCTGCCAAACAGCACATACATTATTTTCACCCTTTGGCATGCACATATTGTATAAACATACATTTTGTAGTAGTCTATTCATGACATTTGAAAAGTGCCATTGCGCTCGGTCGGGGCCTGCCATTTAGCCAATTAGACTCAATATGGGCTCAGTCCCGAGGACTGACCACATGACCATTTTTTACTTGTATATAGTTTTAATACAATAAGTGTATCTTCACAAAATTTAACAGACTTTTAGTAAACATTACAAGTTATTTGTACACAAAAAATCAGTTTTTTTTTTTAATGAAGTATTTTTTATTAAAGATTGGTCTATGAAGATATATAGTCTTTTTTGACCAGTCTGGGTGCAAAATAATTTTTATTTTAAGATTAAAAATACTTTTCTTCATCCCAAAAATATCAGATGTTATTTACATAATCTCTAAAACCTCCTAAATACATTTCAAACATTTATTTTTTTTCATTAACTCTCTTAATGGACTTTGTCAATTTAACTGACCACATGATTTCTTTGTACTCCTTTAAGTTTTTATAGATTTATTACTTCTAACTTTCAATATAGTGTGTATATCTTCACAAAATTTGGAAGTTTTTCACATACAAAAAATCTTATTTTTTAATGAAGTATTTTTAATAGAATAAAATAAAGATTTGTCCATGAATATATTGAATATTTGTTTTGAATAGTCCGTGTGCAAAGTAATTTTTATATTAAACTTGAAAATTCTTTTCCTCATCTCAAAAATCTCAGATTTCCTTTGTGTAATCCCTAAAACCTCAATACATTTCAAACGTTTTTTCAGTAAAACTTTATAGTTTATCTGTTATTTTCTCTACCCTATCTCAAAACAGTATCAGTCAATTCAACTGACCTCGTAACCACCAAAAATAAAAAACTATAAATAACATTTTTTTTCTAGAATGACATCAAATTGTTACATGAAACTACATTTGTTTATCCTAAGTACCTCTAAGTTCGTAACAGTATACATCTATTTTTAATTACATTCTATTGTTTTATTGCCCTTTGAACCGTATCTAAGTACTATCTGTGCCATTATAAGTTGTAAATCACTTGGGGAATGTGCAGCTCATGTTATGCTAACGAATTACATTACCCATGAGCTACTCGCATGTGTGCCTCGTGAAACATTTTTATTATAACATTATTATTATTTATTTTACCTAATCTAATCTTAACAAATCTAAAAGGATCCATATTTTTACATTTTAGTTACTTTTATAATTATACATAAAGAATAAACATGAAAAAGAAGAAATAAAATACTTAACCAATCTTCTTTTTTCTTCCTGTCAGGTTTAGAAGATCGTTAACCCTAATTTTTTATGTTATAGATAGTAATGCACTTAATAATTGTTATTTAATTAAATAACGTACCAAGGAACATAGACTAATAACATGCAAAAAGTAGACAAATTCACTTACCTTTTAAAAATTTCCTGGCTTTCTAACTATGTGACAAGAGCCGTTACAAATTCCTCTAAGCTAGTCATTAACTTTCCTACAGGAATGAACTGTGTATTATAAGTGAAATTAATGCTTATCTGTTCAGAACACGATGTTATACAATACGTCATTTGATAGATGAAAAACCTTGACTTTCTATTGGTTGTAAGTAATATATAATGAAACATAAGAGAGAACTATCAACAAATTCTGAAAGAAAGGATGTGACAGGTGGGTGTGGCAGGAGGGGTCTGATTTACTGTTTGATAGTTCTGTAACCAAACAGAATTGAAGGCTATAAAAGTTATGGTTTGTCTGAGCAATAACGATTTTATGGAGAGTAATTTTGTTTTTTTTTCGAGGTGGATGAAATAGAGATGATGACATGCTAAGAGAAAATGTGTTATGTGGATCACGCTAGTGGAAATTCAGGATTTTTTCTAATATTGCCTTTTCAAATTAAGAACTTAAAACTTATATACTATTAAAATATGGATTATTAGCTGAGATTTTATGCTATTTCAATTGGTATAACATAAACAAAAAGTAGTTTAAAAAAATTTTGAATGTAGGACACTAAAACCTTGTCATGCACAGTTAAGGATTCCAGTAGCAATAGGGTTAAAACTTTATATTTTATTTATTATTTTCTCTATGCTATCTGTATACAAGGTTGGTCAATTTGATGGACCTCATAACCACAAAAAAAATCGAAATAAATCTAAACTATCCTTTTTTCTTTTCAGAATAACTTCAAATTATAACATGAAACTACATTTGATTATCCTAAGTAGCTTTAAACTCTAAAGAGTATACATCTTTTTATACTTAAATTTTATTGTTTTATTGTACTTTGAACCATGTCTAACTACTATTATTCATGCCATTATAAGTTGTAAATCACTTGGTGAATGGGGAGCACATGTTACGATGTTGATATTACATTACCCACAAGCTGCTTGCATTTGTGCCACATGAAACATTTTTTTATAGTGTTATTATTATTTATTTTACATAATCTAACCTTAACTAACATAAAGAGATCCATATTTGTACATTTTAGTTCATTTTGTAACAATAAATAAAGAATAAACATGAAAAACAAGAAATACAGTTCACATATGGTTCTTATTTTTTTTGCTGTCAAGTTGATGACACTTAACCCTACTTTTTTATAGTAGTAGTGCACAAAATAATTTTTATCTAATTAAATAATGCACCAAAGAACATAATATGATAGCATTCAAAAAGCAGACAATGTCCCATAATTATCATTATTTTTCTGGCTTTCTAACAATGAGACAAATTCATCCAAGCTAGTCAATGCGTTTCCTATGGGAACGAATCTTGTACTGAAAGAAGAATTAACATTTTTCTGTTCAGAAAACAATGTAATATAATATGTCATTTGATAGATGAAAACCTTGGCTTTTTATTGGTTAAAAATAATATAGTATTAAACATAAGATAGAATTATTGACAAATTCTGAAAGAGAGGGTGTGACAGGCAGATGTAGCAAGAGGAGTCTGGTTTTCTATTTCATGGCTTTATAACTAAACAAAATTGAAGGCTATCTGAGCGATGAAAAAATTATAATAAGTAATTTTACATTAAATTTTGTAATTCATGGAGGGGTGATAAATATATTAGAGAAGAGGGGATGCCTAGAGAAAAAATGTCACATTTCTCTCTAGGAGAAATTCAGGATCTTTTTTTAATATTGCTTTATAAGATTAAGAACTTAAAACTTACATGGTATTAAAATATGGATTATTAGCTACGATTTTGTGCTATACTAATTGATATAGCGTGAACAAACAAAAAGTAGTTTAATTAAATTTTGAAAGTAGCTCACTAAAACTTGTGACATGCACAGTAAAGGATGCATGTCGTGAGAAGGGGTAATTACAGCTGAAAAGTCACTAGACATTTTCTTTTTCAAAAAGCCAAGGAAACCATGTTGTATAGAGTGATGAGGTCTCACCAAAAAAGATATAAACCAAATTAATTTGAAAAATGATTTGTGGCAACCTTGTTCATTTGCAATGTCTTCAAGTCACTTCTTTTTCTGGTTAATTAATTTTTGTATTATTTTGTGACAACGGAGGTGTTGGTATTTCTTGCAGTTTTACTTTATATACCAGGAACTATTTTGTTTATGAAATGTCATGTATGGTACAATTAAGTATCAGGGTTTGAAGCTGAATAAAAGTGTTATTAGAATAAAAACATACCATTTACCTATTTAACTTTTTTTTTTTTTTCTCATTAGTGGAGGTCTTTCAAAGAGTTAACACTTTTAGTGCTGGATTTAGTTGTCATAATGTGTTAAAATGGTAAATGTTAAAATGATGCTAAGCCATATTTGCTAACTGCTAATCAAGTCCACCAAACTGTTTTGTCTCCTGAATGCATGCAAATGTTTTTTTTCTACTTCAACAGAATTTAGGACACAGTAATGGAATTGCTCTATCTCAGAGAACTTACCATAATCTTCCAAGATATTCAGTTGAATCAGCATTTAACACTTTTCCATTGCAAGATCCTCTCCATAATCAACAAATCAGACAATTTTATGAAGATGAGGTTACATTTGATAGACTTCCAGAAATACATTCCAGGAAACAAGTCAGTTTGCCAGCTGATCGACTGCCTCGTCCAGCATACTTCGGCCAAATTCCATCAAAACACTTTGCTCTGCATGAGTGGTTTGGTACAATTTTTTTTTACTTTTATGCTTTGATTTGCTTATCAGAAATAGCTTGCTTTTAGATATATTAATTGGGTTTACTACTGGTGTTGGATGTTTTACATATTTATAAATCTGAAGTATATTTTTTTATTTTGTCTTTGTATAGTGGTTATTTAGGAATATGGGAGGAAGACAGGTTTTAGTTGTTTCTGTAAAGGAACACATCAACTATAAAATTATCTACAATTGAGTTAAGAGAGAATCTGTCTCTAGTAATCTTAATGACAAATAAAAGTAGTTATATTGAGAATGATTACTAATTTCTTATAACTTCTTTAGGCAATAACCTTCCTCGCAGTGAAATCCGATACATCAAAGAGCTTGGCAGTGGTTGGTTTGGTAAAGTTGTTGAAGGTGAGATTCATCAGGCTAGCTTGAACCAAGGTCGATCTCAGATAGTCATTAAAATACTACGTGAAGATGCTTCACCTTCTGAGCATAATTATTTCTTAAATGAAGTGGAATATTTCAGGTAAGTTGTTGTGGTACACATAGTGTGATAAAATGTCATATTAAAATAAAATTTTTAGGAGGATCTTTAGTGTGAACTTCTTGTTCATAAATAGTTTCTACTATGAGATGTTTAAGTGTTGGATTTTTGATTAGCATGTTAGGGTTTCAGTTAACTTTCTCAACACAGACTCGGTCGATTTGACCGACCATGTGACCTCTTTGTACTCTTTTGAAATCTACTAGTTTTGATACTACTAACTTTTAATACTGTATGTACATCTTCACAAAATTTGGTCAGACTTTCAGAAAACATTACAAGTCTTTCAAATACAAAAAAAATCATATTTTTTAATGAAGTGTTTTTAATAAACTAAAAAAAGATTTGTCCTTGAATATATCGAGTATTTTTTTACTAGTTCGTGTGCAAAGTAATTTTCATGTTAAGATTAAAAATACCTTTCTTCCTCTCAAAAATCTCAAATATCATTTGTGTAATCTCTAAAACCTCCTAAATGCATTTCAAATGTTTGTTTTCAGTAAAACTTTAGATTTTATTTGCTATTTTCTCTACCCTAACTCTATACAAGGTTGGTCAATTTGACTAACCTCGTCTAGATAAATCTAAATTCCATTTTTTCTTTCTGGAATGTCTTCAAATTGTAGTATGAAACTACATTCATTTATTTTAAGTAGCTATAAACTCATAACAGTATACATCTATTTATACTTAAATTTTATTGTTTTATTGCCCTTTGAACCCTGTCTAACTACTACTATTCATGCCATTATAAGTTGTAAATCACTTGGGGAATGTGGAGCTCATGTAATGCTACCAAATTACATTACCCATGAGCTACTCTTGAGCTGCTCCCATTCATGCCGTGTGAAACACTTTCATTATATTGTTATTTATTATTTATTTTATATAACCTAACCTTAACTAATCTATAGAGATCCCTATTTTTACATTTTAGTTCCTTTTATAATAATAAATAAATAATAAACATGAAAAACAAGAAATAAAGTACTTACCTGGGTCTTTTTTTTTTTGCTGTGGACTGTCATTAATACTCAACCCTACTTTTTTATACTAATGGCAGTAATGCACAAAATAATTTTTATTTAATTAAATAATGCACCAAAGATCATAGAATAATAAAATACAAAAAGCAGACAATTTCCCTTAACTATCACAATTTTTCTGGCTTTCTAACTATGTGACAACAGTCCTTACAAATTCATCAAAGCCAGTTGTTATCTTTACCATGGGAACGAAGCTTGTCATTTGATAGATGACAACCCTGGCTTTCTATTGGTTATACATAATGTAGTATTAAGCATAAGAGAGAACTACTAACAAATCCTGAATGAGAGGATGTGACAGGTCCTGATTTTCTATTTGATGGCTCTGTAACCAAACAAGATTGAAGGCTATAAAAAGCATAGTCTGTCTGAGCAATGATAATATTATAGTGAGTAATTTATTTTCAATTTTGTACTTATTGGAGTGGTGGTGAATAAAATAGAGAAGAGGGTTTGTCTAGCGAAAAAATTTTGCATTTTCACACTAGAGAAATTCAAGATTTTTTTAAATATTGCCTTATAAAGTTAAGAACTAAAAACTTACATACAATTAAAATATGAATTATCAGCTACAATTTTATGCTATACTAATTGGTATAACATAACCAAAAGGAGTTTAAATTTTTGATGTAAGTCACTAAAATCTTGTGATATGAACAGTAAAGGATGCCCATGGTAGTAGGGTTAAAAAGAAAATTGAGGCAGTGAATAGAGTTTTACAAAATTAGCGGCAATGTAAATTTGATGTAAAACAGGATAATCCTGAGATACTTAAATAAATTTATATAAAAGATCACATCCATAACAAAAGTGAAAATTATCATAAGAATTACATTATAATGGGTAAATGGGATTCTAGGTATGGGATTTTCAGTATTTTCACTTGGTTATCAGGTCTTACATAGGTCTTATTGCTGATATACTCCAATAAATTTAACTTGAATACAAAAGGTTTCCGTTTTTGACCCATTTAGTTTCTCAAGATGAGCCATTCTCACAACAAAAGTAATAAGTGATTCACTTGTTTTTCATCTTGTTTATTTTCCTTGGGATTTTATCCTGTCTTACCTTTTTGTTGAATGGTTCTGTCTTGAATTTGATTTCTGTGTTAATTGTCACCGAATGATTTCTGTCTTACTTAACATCAGTCAGCTTCTCTAACGCAAATAATAATTGTATACCCTATAACTACTGATTCCTACAATTTTTAGGACCCAATGTTACTATCACTATATTTCGTTCCAAAAATAAAACTAGTGGATGAAATTGTTTGAAAGTTGACAAGAACCTTCTTCAAAGTATGTAGCATCAGAAAAATAAAATATTTAATTTGGAATTTTTTCTAACATTTTTAAAATTTAAAAGTTATTTGCACTCAGACTTTGAATAGTTCATTTTCATTTTGAGCATAAATTATTATCTTTCAGTTTTCACATTTTGTTTGTATAACTTCTAGAACCTGCTAAATGCAGGAAAGGCAGAGTTCCGTCTCATGACGGATTTCCATCAATCGAAAAAAATTTCAATTGGTAAAATAAAAAATCCAACTTCTTGAGTTCAATACCCCAAACTATTGGACGAATGGCTACTACAAATGTAGGCTTTCTTGGAAACATTCAGACAAACAATTACTGTTATGCAACTTCAGAAAAACTCGGAAATATTATAGACCAGCATGTATATGTTAATGATATAGCCTTTTTCTGAAGTGAAGTATGCATCACACCGTAGCAGACATGTGTTGTTATTGAACATGTGAGATTTTCTTAAGTGTTTTATGCACAATTTATGTACCAATTTAGAGATGATCCATTCGAAGTAATTCACAACTGTAAACCTGGAACTAATGAAGTATAGCCTTCTAGGTGTACTTACATAACTTGTAAACCATTTTGATATTTATGTCATCCAGTATTGTTCAAAGTCACATAGCTAGAGTAATCTTTCAAGCATGCAGAATAAATTTCTGTTATATTCCTAGTTCTGAAACTTATGTTTTATACGAGAAGCCATATAGAAATTTGTTTCTACGAATTGCTGACAAACAATAATTTCACACATTTATAAACTCATTTTGGATTTCAGGAGCAAAATAAGATGTTGACGTTTGCTTGTTTTTAACACGTTCTAAATGCTCTCTCATTACTGGATCATACTTTGCTAATAACTGCAAAAATGACAGAAAATTTCCAGGGTTTTCATTTGAGGTTATGTCCTCAGTATGACCACGAAATGCAAGATTCTGAGAAGCTAAATATTGTGTACATCCAGCAACCCTCGCAGTACATCTCTCCATTTATTTTTTCTTGCTGAATTTGCCTTTGCAGCTCTTCATCAATGCCACTTTGAAGACGAATTCGGCGCTCAAGTTTCTTTCCAAGCAGCAAATGACTCACGATGACTGTCACTATTTTCATGGGCATTT